AAGGAAGGAAGGAAGGAAGGAAGGAAGGAAGGAAGGAAGGAAGGAAGGAAGGAAGGAAGGAAGAAAGAAAGAAAAGGAAGGAATGGAGGACAGGATTGAACCTGCAGAAATGAAAACATGGTCGCTGCTATTTAAAAATTCAACAGAGGGCGCCTGGGTGGCTCAGCTGGTTAAGCGTCTGCCTTCGGCTCAGGTCATGATCCTGGAGTCCCGGGATTGAGTCCCACGTCAGGCTCCCTGCTCGGCAGGGAGTCTGCTTTTCCCTCTCACCCTCCCCCCTCTTGTGCTCTCTCTCTCTCTCTCTCAAATAAATAATTAATTAAATAAAAATTCAATAGAGGGGCACCTGGGGGCTCAGTGGATTAAGTGTCTGACTTCCGCTCAGGTCATGAATCCTGAGGGTCCTGGGACCAAGCCCCAGGGACAGGCTCCCTGCTCCGCGGGGAGTCTGCTTCTCCCTCTCCCTCTGCCTGCTGCTCCCCCTGCTTGTGCTCTCTCTCTTTCTCTGTGTCAAATAAATAAAATCTTTTTAAAAAAATTCAATAGAACGAATGGCAAAATGAAGGAAATTTCCCAGAAAGATTAAGAAGAGATAAACAACAGAGAATGAAATAAAATTCAGAGACTCCAACAAGATCCAGTTTCTAAATAACAGGAGTTCAAGAAAGAGAAACCAGAAAATAAGAGAAAATTGTCAAAGATATAGTATTTTTAAATGTTCCCAAACTGAAAAATACATCTCTAGAATGTAAGGGCTCACCAAGTACATAGCACAGTGAACGGTGGACTCAGGCAATGAGCAAAGATGGCCACAATAATTCTTCCCATCTAGTCTGACACGCTCCTCTGTGGGCAACTTTGCCACTCTTCCCAGCAAAAAATGGCATTTATGTCCCCATTCCTTTAATTTAAACTGGCTTCAAGACTCATCGTGACCAACAAAATGTAGCACAAGTGACACCATGTAATTCTAGGTGTCAGAAGCCTTTACAGCCTCTACTCTCACGTTTGGAATGCTGCCACCTATGTAAAGAAGCTAAGAGTATTCTTCTGAGATGAGACCTCATGGAAAGAGAGGCCCAGCATCAACGGCCAGACATGGGAGTAAGGCCACCTTAAAAGCACCCAGCTGTTCAGCAGAACCACCAAATGACAACAGCAACACGATCTTAGCAAGACCAACAGAAGACTCGCCCAGTGTCAAGAAGTGTAAAGGCTCTGAGATTTTACCCTACTTGCAAGGTGACAGGCTAGTTGGCCACAGTTTCGTGGACTCTGGCAGATGTTAAGACTCCTAGGTCAGAAACAAAGGACTCTTCAGCTGACAGCACAGCGTGAAGCCTGAGCTTCATCTGTCCATCAGTTCCCGCTGGCCCCTCTGTCACAGGGGAGGTCAAGGCGTGGCCCAGGTTTGCGTCACAACTGAGGATCCCTGAATTTAGGGAACCTCATCTTTTATAATGGGCTGCAGGTGAACCTGTTCAGTGGGACCCAAGGGCAGGACAGAGACATTGTCTTTACCTGTGCTAGACAGTAAATAAACCTGCTCTCTCTCTGCTAGGGAGCAAGCCATTATCTCTACCTTCCAAGGCTGTTTGCTATATAAACATCCTGGAAAAGGCAATCAAGAACAAAAGCTGTCAGTGCCTCTGAGTGCAAGTTAAGCAGTAACTGAGACCCAAGAATTGTCTCTTAACACCCCCCTGAGCAATCACCGACAAACAAAATGTTTCTTGTTCTAAGTCAGTATGTTTGGGCAATTCAGAGGACTATCATGAAATACAAAAACGTGAAAGAGGAATTCTCAAAAACATTCATAAAGAAAACTGGGTCACAATAAAGGAACACAAATCAAAATGACAGGGGACTTCATAGCACTCTAGAAGACAGCAGACCAGACCTTCAAAATCACAAGGGAAATTTTCTGCCTAGAATCCCATACTAAGCCAATTCACCACCCCCCCAAATCTACAGTATATTAAAAATTTTTTTCAGGTATGAAAAGACTCAAAAGTGTTTCCTCCTATGCATTGTAGAGCATGAGATTCGATAAAACGAGTAACTCAAGAGACCCAAAAATGTGATATCCCAGGGACAGAAAATCCAACACAAAATAGGAAAGTATCAAGGTGACAACTGTATACCAAACCTGAAGAGCTACCAGATTGGAACAGGAGGATGGGGGATTGCTAAAGTGAAA